TAGATTTTAATCATGAGAAACTAAATTGCCAGAAAAACTAATTTCAGACATTATCAAAAAAAAAAAAAAATATTTTTTAAAATAAATTTCAGTCGAATTACAGTTAATTTCTATTTATTGCATAATCTAAAAAAGTAAAATGTATAAAATTTAAGAAAATGTAAAGCGCTGAGGGGAAAATACCTTAAAAATGCAGTTTAGTATGATAGAGTTCAAAACAGGGTTCAAAGCAAAGTCCAACTTCACAGTCTTTGCACCAGATTCAATAAATCTAATTAATTATGAATCTAATCAATAAATCTAATTATAAATTCAATAATTTAATTAAATAAGCAAGATAATTGCCAAACGTTTTCTAGCAGCTATTTCTGTAAGAAAAAAGCGGCAAAAAGTGAAGTTTGAGCACTAATACCATGTGCCTTCAAATGCCGCAATTTAGTGGACAACTAACGATATCTGTAGGCCAAAATGTAAACTAAGTGCCTAATACTATATATAATTTATTTCAATGGTCAAATGGGGAAAAAAACGGGATCCGCTCCTCAATAAAGGAAGAAAAACGTATGCCCGCAGAAATCGCGGAATGAGCAAATTTTGCTAGATTTGAGTGACCCGTGGAAATCGCTGGATGATCAATCAGAGGGTTAAATGTCTGAATTTCAAATTTTTGCAGACTATACTTTCGATTACATGATAAATGAATTGATCTATCATCAGAACTTTTTTCAAATTTTTCAGCCTTGAAGTTAAAAGTACTGTTCTCTATAATTTTCAGTTTCACTGAAATCCTTAACGTACTCCTTTTTTTTCGTCGCCAAGTAATAATTCAGAAATTGCATGCTGAATACTTTCTAAGCGCTGGAATTTATCATGTAACTGTAAATTCAATTCATGAAGTATGGAAAGATTCACTTTAATTAGCCTTTGTCATATTTGTAAATGTTGTACGAAAAGTTTTGCATTGTAAGTTTAAAGCATCCATAATAAGGTATCAAAGCTTATGAGAAACTAAAAGCATAAATATTTAATGTTTAAATTCAAATTGTACCGTGCTTATTTTGCCATTACTCCAATTTCTGTCATGAACACCACTTAATTTGTTGTAACTCCTCAAGAAAATGAACACAAAAGATTCTTATAGCCATAATTTTGTATTAAGTCACTTTTACTAACTTAAAAGGTTTAGACAAATTACTTGCAAAACATTTTTCTGTATACTATAACACGTCTTGTTATTATAGATACATACAAAATAAAAACCGAAATCTAAAACCAATAACAATGAATATCGATTTTCAACAGTATTTTTTCCGTTGATGAATTGGTTAGCAGGGAGTTTGTAGATATCTCTTTAATGTTCAGCAATTTTTACTTGAAGTTTTCTAGATGCTGAAGCGATGAATTGTGTCTTTGTGTTTGTATCTTCACTGTAGATCAGAGTAGTATATATACTTGAAATATATGTTATGGCAGTATGTGTTTTAGCTCCATCTGGAACATGAATTTATGTAGTGACATCCGAAAAGACATTTTAAATAAAAGTGTTGTCACTCATAAAGTAAGCTAAGTGCCGAACATATTCATGAAATTATGCCTAGTTAATATGGACAAAATGAATTTAATAAATTACATTAATGTGAAATGTACCAATTGTTCAAATACATATACAAATAGTGCAGGCTGTCCTAAAAAGAAAAGATACATTCAACATTTTATTTTTCATTAACGTCTAATAAGAGATATAGTTTTTTTTCCCCTTTTCACATACAAAGTGGAAAATATTTTCACTGCTAAACTTGTTTTTTACTGCTTTTCCACATTTTCTGCTGATTGCTCTCTTGCATTTGTAGTATATATTAGCTCTTTTTTATTATGTTTTCCAGTTTGGCATAGTGCACAAAATTAACTTTGATTTGTCACCGTAAACCTGTGTAACAGCTTGAAATGCAGCTGATAGTCATATGCTTGTATCAAAATTCTATATCAAATTGTAATAAAACAAATTCTTAGCTATGTTATGGCGTTTTTGAATTTTGAATTTATCTTTAAATTTTCCAAAGTTACCAAAAGGTACCCTACAAGTTGACCATAACATAAAAATAAAACTCAATTCAGCAATAAGATACTAGTAACAATAAAGTTGAAAATTTTGCGTTGTGTTTCTTCCGGATTAACCCTTAAATCAATTAGAGTAAAAGACTGGTAAAAATCATGAACACACAAAATAAATTTAACCATTGAATGATCTAGAAAAAAAACTTATTTATTTAATTCTTATGCATTTAGTATATCCATTTCTTAGAAAATCAACACAAATTCAAACAGTTCAGTACTATTGAGATTTCAATCCATACTCTTACTGAGTAGTATTACATACTTTAGCCTTAGAATCTCTATTAAAATTTACCTTTACAATCTAGTAAGCATATCAGAAATAAACTATGAATAAATGAACAATAGCCTCCCCTGGGAGCAAAAAAAAAAAAAAAAATTAACAAGTTACACTTTAAGACACAATAACACGCCGAATAAATACTAATTCAGAAGTCAAACAACAAAAATCAGCGTTATATTTACAAAATTTTCACAGGACTAGTTTCGATGGTTTTACCGAACCATCATCTTCAGCTGCAAAACCGCAAATGAACAAGATAGGAAATAATGATTAGATAAGATAAGAAAGCCTGGACAAGAATAAGCAAGTGGTGCCATCTGTTGGTGAAACCAGAACTAAAACATAATTTCTTTAAAGGCCGAAGGCAAATTTGGATTGGAATTAGGATCGTTAACTAGAACAGAAAGATTTTTATGAATGTGAAATGCCTCTAGAAACTCCAGTTCTCCAATGGAAGATGTTTTTTGAATAATTTTGGCAGCAGGAAAATTGAAAGTGTGGTTTTCGTACCAACAATGTTGAGCAACAGAAGACTTCTGTATTTCCTTTTTTCTAACATATGCCTCATGTTCCTTGACGCGAAATTTTAAGGCTCTCTTAGTTTGGCCAATGTAAATTAAACCACACTGGCAAGGAATCCTACAAATACCCCAGGAATTGATATCCGGAATGGGGAATTTTATCTTGAGTATGGAACTCGGAATTTTATTGATGGGAGAATAAACAACCCGAAAGTTAAATTTCTGCAAAATATGTGCAACTTTAAAGCTAATTGATGGAAGGAAATTAGCTATAAAGTGCATAGCAAAAAATGGATAAAGGCATATCCTTCGTTTCTCAAACCATTCCGAAATCTGTTTATCAATTTCACGCTGCTCTGCGGCCGGGTTGGGGGGAAACGCCGAAACGCCGCGGCGCGCAATGAATTGGAAGTTAATCTGTCAGCACTATCCTTATCTTTTGGGCAGATGTTTTTATTTTATTTCGCTTATAATTCCTTACTAAATGTAGTATTTCATCTCAATGTACTCCATCTTTAATATGATATAAATCAAATTCCTCGTCATTATAATTCGCTTCCAGTAAAGAAGAAAGTGATACAAAGGTTATTGAAAACGAAAAAATTTCGATTGACAAATTAGTCGGTATTCTTGACACAGCAATCAATTATAGGACTTTAACAGCGGAATTTTGTAACTGAAGAAGAAATTATGTCTGTTTACAGAATTAAAGAGAAAGTATTATCACATAAAACGAAGCAACTTAAACAACTTATATTGAAAGAAATGTTTAATAAAGTAAACAAATAAATACTAAGCTCTTTTTTTTTTTTTTAATTTTGATAACCCTTTTGATCATAATTGTTCTTTATTTCATAAATTACGGTTTCATATTTTTAATTTTATAATTTCTGCATGCCACCTTACCAGATTTAAACTGATGATCTATAATCCAGAAAAATCGATAATCTGGAATTGCCGAAGTCCCGACGAGTCCGAATTAACAACTTTTGACTGTATACATATTATTATGGAACATTCTTAGCCTCAATCACATTCTCTCGCTTCACGATTCTCGATTGCCATCGTGCACCCCTATCAGCAGCTTTTATACAATGCCATCTGTTTGCTGATAGCAATTAAGTTCATTTTCCATAATGCTGTCAATATGACAACTCTAGACTAAATAGGCATGCAACACGTTTTTTCTCCTTTTCGTAAATGAATAAAATTTTGAGAAAGAACTTATGAAATATCACTTAGTGTTAAGAAAAGTCACAACACTTCTGCCGCTCAAGCTTGTAAATAAATATGTAGCATTTAAAAGTAAAATGTAAAATCATGAAAATGACAGTAATTGTCTTTCTGCTTCTAATGAAATGTAACATGCCGCAAGTTCTGTGTTTTTGCTCCAATATCTCTGTAGCTGACTACTTCAAATAAAGCTTTCGACATAATCATTTATAATAACAAATGGAACATTTACTTGCATTCTGTGATATGCAAGTGGATTATGCTTGTGTGTCTTACAAATTTATCTCTAATTTAATACTTCATTATCATTTAAATTTTGATAATTTTCCTGTAAATGACTGATAAATTAAAGATTTTTTATTCTGTTTTAATTTAAAAGGTATATTGCATTTCATAACAGATGTTACATTTATGTGGTCATTTTTTAACAAATGAAGAAAAAATATTTTATTTTGCTTTTGGCTTTTAATAACCATTTGTTTGAAGTTTCAAAACTTGAAATTAAAATACTGCAAACTAATATCTTTAAATTTATTCATTTATTTACTTTAAAATATTTTGAGGGTAAAGTGGAATTTACTCTTTCAAAGCGTTAAAAATTTAGAATTTTTACCCCAAGTATTTACAGTTTTTGGAATTTTTTTAGATGCTGTTTCCTCTTAGAGTTTCCTAGGAATGTTGTAGTTCATGAAGCATGTGTTTTGTTCTCTGTGATAAAAAAACCATCAATATTCGTCATAGTGATAAAGAAAACATCATTTGCATTAATAAGTTTGTTTAAATCAGAGATAAAAGAACTGAATATGAAATGTTGTGTACAATTTTCGATATTAATGTTGTACTGTTTTCAGGTGGCTACAAATACAGAAACAAGTAAAAATGTTGGTAATGCTATTCTATATGAAACAGTGCTATCTATCATGGACATTAAGTCAGAAAGTGGCCTAAGGGTAATTAAATTTAGTGTCGAAATAATCTCTTTTTCCTTAAATATGTAAGATCGAAATGTATAATGCAGTTTGTTATTTTTTAGGTTCTCGGTGTAAATATTTTAGGGAGATTCTTATTGAACACAGATAAAAATATTAGGTAAGTTGGTCATATTGACAAAATAAGAATATCTAGCCTCTTTGTGTTCGTTTGAATGATAAGCCTTTTTTAGTGTGTGTATGTAACTTTCGATAATAGTTTTTACTTAAATGGTAATTCAATTTTATTTTTCCCCTATCAAAAAAAGGGGGGGAAGAAAAGAAATGGAAACCTCATGCTGAAGAAGGTAATGCACTGAGCTGAATATAAATCATTTCATGTATGACCTGTCATTTTTTAAAGTGTGTGCTTATGTTAGCAATACATGGTGTTATGACAGCATATGTACTTGTTTCAAAGTATATATGAGCTTCTATTTTGACCCGTATGATATACTTTTTTAATGTCACTTCTGAATTGCTTGAACATGTTTATGGTAAGTGAGTATGTTAGTTATTGTTTATTTATTTCATTCACTTAATATTTAACTTTTATGCTGCCTTAGGGTTTTATATTCATACTGCGGAAGTTCTTGATTATTATCACATAGGTAATCATGGCTCCTGAGCCTGTAGGTGATGCAGTATGTTTGAAGAATATTTAGTCCCCCCTGCCGGGAGGGCAAATACTGTATAATTTTAATTTGTGGAATGTGTAAAAGATTCTTTTGAAAAATCTGAATAGTTTCCAGAATGACTATATTGCTGAAAATGACTGATTCATTTATGTATTGTCTGAGTAATATGGAATAATACTTTTTTTTTTTTTTTTTTTTTTTTTTTTTTTTTTTGTATAATTATGCAGAATGTTTTCAAAACTGGAATTAGTCCTGCCCATTTAAACTTGTAGTTTAGGTTGCTATATTGGGAGGAGGAAAATAATTTTATTAATGTCTGCATGTGTATATGGAATTAAAGAACTGTGTAAATCATTTTTATGTTAGCTATATACAGGGTGTCAAAGAGTAGAAAAAAACTTTCATTACCTATTTGTTTAATCTCTGTGTGTGTGTGTATGTGTGTGGTATAAAAGAACTGTGTAAGCATGTTAAAGAGTAGAAAAAACTTTCAGTAACTATTTGTTTAATGTCTGGTGCAAGGGATAAAACTGTGTATGCAGAGCTGTATATATATATAAAAAAAAACTTTAGCAAATTACTGTGGTTTTTATTGAAATGCTATAAATTATGCTGGTAGTGTGATGATACAAAATATAAGGAAAATAAAGTCTGTAATGTTTCTGTCATATTCTGTTAATTTTCAACCCTATGATTAACACTTCTGACATGATGTAGCAAAAGGAATATACTGCATCATCTAACTAAAGTTTGAAAACAAATGAAAGGGCTAGCAGTAATTATGAGTTGATTTTTGTGAGTCTTGAAAGATTATTATTTGGTTGCATCTATCGAAAACATCAAGCATCATTTAGTTACAAGGTTCTTAATGAAAGAAAGCATAAGACTTCAGAATCATTCCTTTACTTACAGGGCTCACCAGCGGCCGAGCGGTAAAGTCGGTGAACACTGGTAGTTCGGTCCGAGGTTCGAATCCCGCGAACGGGCTGGCTGCATGGGTGTTTTCGTGGTTTTCCCCATGTGTAACGTGTATACGAGCCAGTTTCCCTTAGAAAGTCCTCCCCGTAGGCAGATAGCCCTCGAGGCTTTGCCATAATCACACACACACACACACACTTTACTTACAGCATTTATGAATATATGATTTCATGGTTTAGTATGCACGTATGCTATATAAAACAGTAGTTTTTGCATTTTCATCTGCATTCAACATAGAAATGCTATTGTGTAGGTAGGGGGAGAGAGTGAGTGATACCTCTCTGTTGTGTCACTTAATGCATATAACTACTTTTCAATATCTTAAGGAAAGTCATAATGAGGTGTATTACTTTTGAGCTGCTGCTAATGATTATGTTTTTACACCCCTGTATTCTGTGCATAGTATTTAAAAGGGAGCTGTGATTGCTCCTGTATTCTAGACGTATAGAGTAAAATCGGATCTCTGTCTTTATGTAGAGGGGAGGCAAAATTCAAATTGCAGTGTTACTTCAGTGCTGAGTTGTTTTGAAGTTGATTCTTCTATGATGATTCCATCAGGAATGAACAGCTTTCTAACTATAATAAGTCACTCTTGCTAGTTTAAATTAAAATTGCACTTTTACATACAGAATGTTGAAACATATCATAATTATTTTAGCAATCTGCATGTAAGAAATAGTACTTTTACAAGTGAATAGGATGCAATAGATGGCAATATATTATTGTTGAGTTCACTGTAAATTCTAGTAGATGTCTGTGATTTCTGGACACATTCTTAGAAGAAAAGGAGGTCGTGTTAATGAGATAGAAAAAATGTGAAATTTTTGTGAAGGGTATAAGATATTAGAAAATTTCAGTAATTGAAAAAGTCTTTGAATCTACATGCCAATATTGCAGTTTGTCACCATCTGTAATTAAACTGAAATAGAAGCTACTTTTTCAAAATGTCTAAAATCTGAACAAACTTAAAACATGCAATGATAATGTATACTGCATGGATATTAAAAACTGTGGCACCATCATACTGTTTGAGTGTTGAAGACTATTTAAATTTAAATCCAGGGTTATCATGAAAATGGGATACTAATTGAAACTTTTACTTAAATGCTAATTTAATTACATACTTAAACTAATTTCTAAACAAATATAAAAGTTACTATCAAAATTTGTCGAAACATTTTTTCAGTTTCTACCCCCCTTTTTTTTCAGATATGAATGAAAGATATAGCTTACTCTTTTTAAGAGAGTATTGTTGGATGTGTATTCAGTACTTAGCACTCTTTTACTAAACAATTGGGTCTAGTTCGTTTCGAAGTCTGCGTGCTCCAATTTAATTAACCATAAAACTTAGATTAAATTTTATGATTAATTTTTGTATTTTCCTACTATAAATATTCCAACATTCATTCTAGTATTCATTTTAATGCTTTTAATTCATTTAAAACAAAATTCATATTTTAATACAGTACTCTTGCTGTAATCCAGCCTCACATCATCCAAGAATTTTGCAGTATGTCCAAGAATTCTGTACCTAATCTTAAACAAAAAGTAAATGTTTACACTTTGAGTTAGAAATTTGGCCTACATGTTTGATCCCATCATTTAGTGACTATTATGGGTAGGGTAAGTGAGATAGCATTGTTAAAAAGTCAAATCTTTATGTTAAAAATCAATGTATTTTTAGGTGTAGCAATGAAACTCCTCCTTATTGATTGTCAATATAAATGCTTCTGAGTCTTTGCGGGTATTTTTACATTGTAGCTAATGTAAAATCTTTCAGGAAGTTTCTTTTCTGGATGTGTCTTGTTGCATATGATCATTTTCTCAGTTTTCCCACATCTTGCAAAAATTACCTCTCCAATCTCGCAGTCTAATGATCATTCTGGTATAAAATCACTGAGACACAACTGCAGTTTGCTGCTGCAGTGTTCCAACGTTTAATTACGTAAATTCAGCCATGTAGATTAGAATGAAAAAATGGAAGTTTCAAGTTTTAATAGTCCATTTATCATTCTTCCTACAGCATGTAATTTCACACTACATTTATTTCATACATGGAGCTATATTTCTCACTCACTAATGATGCAAACTATTCTCAGTATTTCATTTGCTTTGGTTTATTTGCTTAAAAGTGTCCCTAAGAACATTAGAGCATTTATTTCTTTCAGCGTTTTCTAATTTTCTTCTCTTTTCTTACTAGTTAATTTTGCTTAAAGTTTAGTTGTTTTCAATGCAAGTTGAATGCAGTTTGCTATGCTATATAGTGCATATTTGTATTTTATTCTATATTAATTTATTTTTCATTAATTCAGTTTGCTAAATTTTCTTAGTACGAGGGCCATCCAGAAAGTAGATTACGTTTCCGTCTGTGTCCGCTAGGGGCGGGGCTAGCGCGGCCATCTTGGAGTCAGAGCATTGCGCAGCTCAGTCTGCATCTAGCCGTGCTAGTGAGAGGTTCGTGCTGTGCTCCGTTCAGATACTGTGACGGTTTTGAAATGTCTGCGTTAATTGAAAATCCTGCGAGGTGCGCTCAGTAATAAGGTTTCTGACTGCAAAAAACTGTAAAACCGATAGAAATCTATCGGCAGCTTCGTGAAGTGTATGGGGACAACATTATCACTGAAGGTGGAGTGCGTCAGTGGGTCATAAGATTTCAAAATGGCCGAACCAATGTTCACGACGAAGATCGAAGTGGGAGACCCAGCATAGTGACCGCCGAACTTCTCGAAAAAGTCGATGCTAAAGTCCTGTGAAAATCGAAATTTTCACAATAACGGAACTTTCTTTGAGTTTTTCCACAAATTTCGCGAAGTTTGTTGCACACGAAAATCATCAGCGAAAAGCTTGGTTACCACAAGTTTTGTGCAAGATGGAAGGCAAGAAGAGGTAACGAAGTGGTTGAAGGCGCAGGCGGCCGAATTTTTTCGACGAAGGAATTTCCAAGCTCGTACATCGCTACGATAAATGCCTTAATTTGTATGGTGACTATGTAGAAAAAGTAGTATTTGAGTGTGGCTTTCATCTGTATATAATAAAATTTGTTTCCTATACTTTGTTTATTTTTTTATTCCAAAACGTAATCTACTTTCTGGATAGCCCTCGTATAACAATTGCTACAGATTTTCCCTTTTTGTTCCAATCACTCTGGAACTATTTTAGGGTGGATTGTTAGTCACTCTTATGAATGTATTTGGGTTTATCGTTTATGTAATTAAGTAAGATTAAAAACAAATTATAACTTTTAATTAAAACATCAGAAATATAACTATGGAAGCTATGCATTCTTATGTGTCATTGCATTATCCATTGCTTCTTTTAATATGGTGGTATTTCCAATTTTCTAGTAATTATACAAATTTTTTTATATTAATTTATTTAAGGTTTTACATCTTTTCACCTTTCTATGGGGGCCTACAACATTACAGAGAATGTTTAGTTTTTGTATGTCTGGTGATGTGTGATATATTTCCCTTGCTGTGGGTGAGGAAAATTGATTACATTAACTGCTTTCATTCTTTGCATGCATAGCAATCCTGCATTTACTTATGTACTACATTTTACATACTGCAGCTTAATGTGTGTTAGAAAAGTTTGGTACATAATATTTTTTCTAATATTGCATATTGCACTTTTATATGTGAATGTGCTAGTGTATGTATATATAGTAGTGCTTTATTGTGTGGACGGTAGAAATAACTATGGAATTTCTTTATTTGGGACAACATGATTAATCACATTAAAATATATACACATTTTTACAAATACAGCCAAAAGTCGTTAATCCGGACTCGTCAGGACTTCGGCGATTCCGGATTATAGATCATCAGTTTAAATCTGGTAAGATGGCATGCAGAAATTATAAAATTAAAAATATGAAACCATAATTTATGAAATAAAGAACAATAATGATCTAAAGGGTATCAAAATTTACCAAAAAAAAAAGCTTAATATTTATTTGTTTACTTTACTTTCTTCGCTATCGGAAGCAAATTATAATGATGAGGAATTTGATTTAAATCATATCAAAGACGGAGTACATCGAGATGAAATACTACATTTAGTAAGGAATTATGAGCCAAATAAAATAAAAACATCTGCCTTGAAGATAAGGATAGTGCTGACAGATCAACTTCCAATTCATTGCGCGACGCAGCGTCCCCCCCGCCGCAGAGCAGCATGAAATTGATAAACAGGTTTTGGAATGGTTAGATAAACAAAGGATATGCGTTTATCCATTTTTTGCAGCAATTCCACATTTTGTTTAATGGACTTCGAAACATACTTTCGCTTTGCAGATACTTTACATATTAGTAAATATATATCGGAAATTCTATTTGACATAATCGAAAGTTCAAGCTTACTTTTATAAAATTGCTCTAACAGTCTGCAAAAAATAATAAGCCGGATCTAATTCAAAGATTAAGGAACAATGCAATCTGCAACATTAACTGAAATAGATAATTAAATAATTTTAGCTTAGCTTATACCGTCCGTTATACATTAAACGCGCATGCGTAAAAGTATTTTGGGCCTGCGCACACGCATATTCGCAGCCGTTAAGATCTTACGCGCATGCATCAATGCGACGCATCTGTCCGGATTATAGATCATTCCTGATTATGGGTGTCCGAATTAACGACTTTTGACTGTATAGAATAAACCTTCAACTAAAGGGTTGAGGTGATGTAAATGATATATTTTTAATGGCACATCTTTTTGCAATGGATATAGGAAACCTTCTTCTTTCCTCACTAATAATTCACAAGAATATAATTAATGCAGCTTGCTATGATATTTTCTACTTTCTGTTGGAGTTAAAGGATAAAGTAATACTCTTTGATGTTTTTTTTTTTTTTTTTTTTTTTGATATATTTAACTTCTGAATGTGCTTTCTTATGGACCCTTCTTATGATTTCTGTTTGCATACTTTCAGGTACGGCCACTAATTATGTACCACCAATGGATTTAAATAAAATTCTATATCTGTTGCAATAATCTTCATAACTAGAAATTTGAAAAAATTCTATAATCGTTTTTATTTTACTATCCTTATCCTGGGCTGATTTCAATTTTGGTTTCACAAAAAGATATTGATGATAGACTGCATAATTGGCTGTAAGTGTACACGTGGCTGTATGTGTGTTATTGCTTCTAGGAGAAATCATACCCCATATTGAAAGTAATTTTCCTATATCAAACTGACACATTTGATTTGTTCATTTTATACATATGCTAATTTCTGTAACATCATAAATGTCTTATAATTTCTTTTTATGTTATTTTATACCTCGCTATGTGTTGTATACTGTATGTCGGTTTCATTAAATTCTACATACAGCATTCTGAGTAATCGTCATTTTTGTGATTTTTCCTTGGTAACCAGTGTATATTTTGCAAACAGACAGAGAAAATATTTAATTGAAAATTAAGAGTTGCACTCACCTGCTCCATTGACTCTTGGCTGCTGCTTGAAAAAACCAGGAATAATCTGCTCAATTGATTTTTACTTATGATTTAATTTATGTTTCCAGGATTAATTTCCCAAATTTCATGTTTGTTTGCTTTTTTGTTTGGTAGCCTTTCATTCTTGATTTGATGAAAAATTAAAAAAATTGTTTTATCTATATACACATGATTAGCATTGTGAGCCTAGGGATGCTTGCATGAGCTTTCAGAATTAGAAAGATTTGAAGCCACCATACTTGAGTGTTTAAAAGAATTTTTATCAACCGAGAAGTAACCCATACATGTCATAGTTGTACGTTTTACTAGTTGTCGGCTTTATATGCACAGAAATTATCTTAAAGAGGCAGGCAGCAAAGTAATTAGCTTTCGTACCTTTTATTGTGCAAGTTGGTAATGACAGTGTTCTGTATTTTTTCTTTCTGTCCTAGTTTTCATGATATGCCTGCTAACTTCCAAAAGCCACCTTTGGAACTGCTTATATACACTGTCTGGCCAAAAACATCTGAACACCCTCTAAAGAAGTAGTTCTGGTAGATGATATAATTTGATGCATAACCAAAAGCTATAAAAATGTTTGTAATAGTTTGCCAGGTCATATTTATGCATTTGGAAGACAATGAGTAAGTCAAAGGAGCTTAGTAACTTTGATCATGGCAGTATAGTGGGATGCCACCTTTGTCAGAAATCAGTTCATGAAATTTCAGATATTCTCCACATGCCAAAATCTACTGTGAGTGGTGGTAATTGGGAAAACAATGTGGCAGGCTGGGAAAAAAAAAATACTGAATACAGTTATAGAACTCTGAAAAGGGTAGTGAAACATAATCACAAGTCATCATTGAATGAAATTACTCAGGAGTTCCAAAGATGTATGTGGACATTCTGGACAGTGCTGCTTTCCCAAATCAATGGCAGTATTTCGGGGAAGGCCCATTTCTCTTCCAGCAGGATAACTGCTCCATTCACACGTCAAGACTTGTGCAGCCATTGTGTGATGAAACGGGTGTTCAAAAATTGGACTGACCTTCTCAAATCCCATAAAACCCTGAAACCTTTTGAATGAATTAGAATGCAAATTATGTAGTCAGGCAAATTGACCGTCCTCACTGCCAGCACTCAATTCAGTTGTGATGGACGCCTGGAAGTCAATTCCTGTGGCCAACTGTCAGAATCTGGTGGAAAGTCTCCCCAAACGTATGCAGCCTGTCATCGATGTAAAAGGGGCACCAACATCATATTAGTATTTATGCGTCGGGACGGGGTATAGAGGGTTTATAACATGTGCACTTATTTATATTTATTTTTGTTTATTTCTTTCAAAACAATTTTCAATTATTGCCATTCTTTTTTGTTATTAAAATGTGTATAAAATTTCTTATGCATATATTAACATTTATGTATTTGTGGTAGATATGTCGCACTAAATACGTTACTTTGCACTGTGCAAGCTGATTATAATGCTGTACAGAGACACAGAAGTACAATAGTAGAATGTCTAAAAGATCCTGATGTATCTATACGAAAGTAAGTTGCACTTTTCTTTATCATTTGACTTGTATTTAATTTTCTATGTATTTTATGTCAACATACAAGTGTGTAACTAAACTATCAATGTGCAAGTGAGATGTGAAACCACAAAAGCTACATAAACACTTTTTAAAAAAATTATTGGGTAATTTATAATAACAGGCTAATCGGCTCAATATTTTACCAAGGAGACCTCTTCTGCAGATTTTGGTGCATTCTAAAATATTTTTATATTTTTTGCAGTGCTGTATCACTTTATTTATATTTTAGTGCAAACATTTTTTTTAAAAATTAATATTTTTGTCTAGTGATTTTTTAATTGTTGCATTATACAGGGTGCCTGTTAAAGACCAGTACCACCTCTTTAACTTCCAATCGGCTGCGGCTATAATAATAAAAGTGGTGTCCAGGTATAGTTAATTGGCTATGCGGCACTAGATGAGACAGCTTTGAGCGCCACATTTTGGAAAACAACGGAGTTAGTGTCCCTATCTCGAAAACGATACAAAATAAGAAGAAAAAGTGAATTACAAAGTCGTAGAGCATCGTCGATTTAGTACGAAAAGACACCTCATAGCCATGAATGTTAAGAAGAGAATGTTTTAAATGTGCACTTGCTTGCGATTTCCTAAACTGTGACATTGCGAAATGATCTTAGAGCGGAAAATCAACTAGTTATCACAAGCTACCTTTATTTTCAATGTTTTAAACTTCATTTCATCAGCTGAAATGTATATCTGGACACTTGATAGAACTTCATGTTGCATATTGTACCATAGCCTAATACATTTGCACAAGCATATGTAATACGTCATTGAAGGTCCTGCAGTGTTCGTGGAGCGGTTGCATACACCTGCTGTTTGAGGTATCTGCACAGGAAAAGTCCTTTGGCGTCAGGTCAGGTGACTGTGGACTTTGAAACCATCACACCCGATTATTCGTTCTCCAAATTCTTCCATCAGGTACTGCTTCACTTGCAACGTGATGTTGGAACCATCCATTCAGGAGTTGAAGCAACGGCAGGTTCTCAACAAAATCCGGTATTATATCTTGCAGAAGTTATAAATACTGTGCGGACGTTAACATACCTTGGTAAAATATTGAGCCGATTAGCCTGTTATTATAAATTCCCATACAAACCATTAATCGAAAAAAGATTATGTGAAACTTCAGCAGAACATGATGGATTTTCCAGTACTCAGTAATGTGTGTTCTGCCTATTGTACATTTCACTCTGTAAGAAGCATGCCTCATCCGTCCACACTATACCTGCAAGCGAATGTTGGCTGGATCTCCATCTGGTTCATGACGAAGTTGAACCATGCTAAATGTCTCTTGGCATCCCCGTCAGGTAATTCCTGATTAGCACCTAATTCATTTAGGATTTTCCAAAAGCGACTTTTTGTGAGACCATACTTTTCACTAATCTCTCTTGTTCTGCTGTTTCAATATGTGAGGCCGTATGATAAAACATCTTCCGGTTGCACTTTCCACCCTACCTTAGCTGGTCTGCTGGATTAGTTGACTAGTCACTCAGGCTATCTCCTTTAAATGTTACACAATCCATAAGGATGGTTTTGTGTGAAGGATGCGGGCCTGCAGGAAAACATTGCTGATTGCTCGCATTTCTTGCACCCACATTCATCCTAAGTAGAACCATCTCACAATAATAATTTTTTGAAAATTGCTCCGTGTCCACGAGCAGCTATCCATTTTATAGCTGTCGTAGGTGAACAAGTGTGACGTTTCATACACTATTTGCATAATGCACAAATTTGCACACCAAGCTCAAGTTTTGTTGATGCATTTCGCAGCATGCTTGTGTGCAATTGTGTACTCTATTTGTAAAGACAATCAGTACAAGGATGCACCCTAAGGGGTTTTGAACCACAATCCTCTCGAATGTGAATTACAAGCGATATCACTCTGCTGCGATACGGACATGATTTTCATTCGAAAGATGACGTCGCAGTTTCAGAAATCGTGAAGGAACAAATGTGCGTTTTCAGCATTCTGTTTTTAACATTCGTATTCACAAGGTGTCTATTTGTACTAAATTGATGATACTCTACAACTTTGTAATTGACGTTTTCTTCCTATCTTGTATCATTTTCTAGGTAGGGAGAACTCCACTGTTTTTCACCCAGGTGGTGCTGTAATCTCATCAAGTAGCGCATAGCTACTTTATTATACCTAGACACCAATTTTATGAATATAGGTGCAGCCGTTCGGCAGTTAAACGGATTGTTACCGGATTTCAGTGTGCACCCTGTATGTAAGAAGGAAGTATTTGAAGTCTGTCAAATTCTGACATCAGCAACATTAGATAATTTAACCGAAAAAAAGGTAGGCTTTTGGTGATCATTTTAATATTAATTGGAAACAAGATTTATGAATTTGTTTAAATTCACAAACTGGAAATATAATTTGTTGGAGTACTTTGTTTTTCTACATTTATAGCAGTGGTTATATAACATACCAGAATGTTCTCGAAAATACTGGTCGAGGGGGAAGAGAAAGTTTCTTCTGTCAAGAAACAAATAAAAGAGAGGGTTTATGCCATGGAATATGCTCGTCCCTCACTGAAGCTATCCATGTATGATAAGAAGACCTCCTGGCAAGTGTATAAGATACAATTCTCAGTAGTGGTGGAAGCTAACAGATGGGATTCCCGAGGGCTAGGACCTGTCATCTCGTCACTTCTTTGAGAGCAGACGCAGTGGATATCCTTCAAACTTTTCCTGAAAACCAAAGGCTAGATTTTCGAAGCTCTGTCCGGCCCATAGGAACTGCGCTTTGGTGAGAAATGTTTAAAAAAGACTACAACAGGCTTTCAATTAAAAGCCCGCTGAAACACTCCAGGAGCTCGCCACAGCTGTTGAAAGGCTGTCTCACCTCGCCTTTATGGAGTGCCCGAGAGAAACAAGGGAAATCCTCTCTCTGCAGTACTTTATCGATTGTAACCGGGATCCCAAAATACAGAAAGCTCTGAGAATAGCAGACATGAAGGATTTAAAAGCGCTCTAGTGTACGCCATGAAATTCGAGGCAGCCCAGTAAGCAACTTGTAGAGATTGCCACCCAATAACAGCTTCTCAAGTCCAGGAGCCAGTGGTTCAAATCACTACTCATCTAGACGATTTAACCTGACAACTCAATGCCTTGAGTCATTGCAGGATGCAAATTAAGCAATGAAGAGAGGAATGCTGCCAAACGTGTCATTCAAGATCTTCAAGATGTTTTCTCTCACTTATCTTCTGACATGGTCAAACTGGTTTGACACAGCATAGAATTGATACAGGGGTTCATCCACCAAATTAAGCAATATCCAAGACATATACCGATTGCTGAGCAAGAAGAGGTAGGAATAGTTTTAAAGGGCATGCAAGGAAGTAGTGTCATTGAACCTTCACCAAGTCCATGGGCATCTGCCATCGTCCTTGTCAGAAAGGAAGATGATTCAAAACAATTTTGCATTGACTAATGCTGGTTGAATTAGGTTAAGAAGAAAGATAGCTAACCTCTTCCTAGAATTGATGACATTTTGGACACTCTCTCAGAAAGCAAGTGGTTTTTCGACACTTAATCTAAAGAGTGGATATTGCCAAGTAGAGATACATCCTGATGACCAAGAAAAGACAGCATTTACTATGGGGCAAGGACTTTTGCTTTTCAAAACGATGCCGTTTGGACTGTGTAATGTACTGGCAACATTCGAACTGTTTCGAACAACATTCGAACCATGGAGACTGTTTTGAAAGTTCTTTCCTACGAAGCCTGTCTGATATACCTGGATGGATCGTTGGAAAGAATTTTGAAGAACATGTAGAAAATCTGTCTTCGTATTCTGGATGACATCATCATCATGAGGAGAAGTTTTCAAGAGCATTCAGAAAATATTAGGAAAGTGCTTCAATGAAGGAAGCTAATCTAAAGTTGAGTCCCACTAAATGCAAATTATTCAGACAGAAAGTGACTTAACCTCGGACATGTCATCTCTGCCAAAGGTATGTGCACGGATCCTGAAAAGGTGTCAGCCATTGAAGACTGGAAACATCCCAAAAATGTCCATCAGCTGAGAAGCTTTGGTGCTGTTTTCTCACAAAAAATAAACAGCCAAGAAATGTGTAGTGGCTTACTGGAATAAGTGCCTCTCTAAACCGAAGAGGAATTACTGTGTCACCAGGAAAGTGTTGCTCGCTCTAGTCAAAGCTGTAGACTATTTCCATCATTATCCATACGGCAGAAAATTCCTGCTCATCACGGATCAATCATCATTCGCCTGGCTTTTAAATTTCAAGAATCCTGAGGTTCAAATAGCCAGGTGGATGGATACACAGACTCCAAGAATATTACATCACTATCCATCATCGGAAGGGATCATCAAACCGAAATGCTGACACCCGTCTTGAAGACCTTGCCCAGAAAGCTGCCGATTTTGTTCCAGGGTCAAAGCGAAATGTGAGCTACTGAGTCCAGTTGCACGACAAATTACATCAACATTGGCTGATTGAGACCTATGGAGTAACAAATAAGTCAAGAAAGACCAGCCGGAAGACTGCAATATTAAAGTCATAATCGATTTAATGGAGTCTTCAATGTCTAGAAAACGCACCTGGCAGGACTTCGATCTATAGTCCTACAACAAAACAGTATTGGGCACTTTGGGACTCGCTCCATATTCAAAACAGCGTTATCTACCGGGAATTCGAATCGAATGATGGGAAGACTTTCCAATAGCAACTGATACTTCGAAAATCCCGGATTCCAGATGTCCTTAAAGAACTACATAGCAGCCCCACAGGAGGTCACTTCAGAATAAAGAAGACCTTGCAGAGAGTTTGTGAGAACTACTGGAATAATGCAAAGGATGATGTGCAAAAGCGGTACCGATCTCGCGATGCTTGTGCACGTCAGAAAGGACCGAAGAAACGCAGACGAGGAAAGCTGAAACGTTACAATGTAGGAGCACTATTTGAGCATATTGCCTTTGCCATC